AATTTATAATCAGTCACAAGAACGTCGAATCTGAATCACTTGAAAAAACACGGGGGTGCTTAACTTTTTTCCAGGTGTATATATAGTACTAGAATATGAATGAGATGACTTGGCCTTTCACCCGTGACCCATCTCGAAAGGATTAAGCAACCAAATGTGACAATATATCATTTATCTTCTTTATATTATATAAAAAAAAATATTCACTACTGAATCTGGTTGATAATAATGTCAAGCGTTTTTTCATGAAACTCATTTCAGAACATTTCCCAGTTCAGTTACCCTTGTCATTTGCAGTTTTACCATTCCCGGCAAAGCTGCAGTCCACCCCCAAAACTAGTTTGAGGCTTGCACTGTGCTGCACATCGCACGCTCTCACACCACACACCACGGAATCCCACGTGCTCTCAGTCTTTGTTCAACCATGAAGTTTCTGTGCAAACCCTCCCGTGTAACCTCTCGAGTTCTTTGCCACCACTACCTCTATTACTAATAGTATTTGCCATTTTAGAATTCGCAGCAATTTCTAGACTATATCCCCCATGAATGGCAAGGAATAACTATAGTGAATTCAAAGTCACATACGATATATAAAATAATCACATCACATAAATGAACAAATTGCTTACTACAATGACATGAAACACTTTAGTTCCCTTGCGAAGAAATTCATGTAAAAATATAATTTAACATTTATTAATGATGCCAATATAATGTGTTTGTTGTTAAGTGCAAAGTTACAAAATGGGCTATCTGTGCTGTGCCCCCCACGAGTATCAAAACCCAGTTTTTAGTGGTATAAGCCCTCAGCCTTACCACTGAGCCATTGGAGAGCAACACCAATATAAAAAATGAGAAATCTGACAATAGAGGGAAAACAACTATTTTATTTCTCTGATTAACAACTAACATTTGAAAGTAAACCTGGGAAATCCTACTACTGTAGTAAACAAAAACCTCACAGATGTACGATATGGACTCCACTTGTTAACTGTGTACAGTTTGGATGATTAATTACAGAGAATTCAAAAATTTATTCCCTTCTGAAAACAGTATTCTGGATTTGTATTAACTATCATAAACATCTCTTTGAGTTATTTCACTTTTAATGTTGATCAAGTATATACTACAATTCTTATAATACCATATACATACAATGATTAAAAAACATTACTTATCATCATTATTATTTATTATTATTATTTATAGACTATGAAGAAAATAACATTTTTATTCTAAATACTCAGTAATCATTTAACATTAATTCTGTGTTTACATCTGTAAATGTTTCATAAAACAGCAATTACAAAGATCATCAGAATAGCCTGAACAACATTAAATTAAGAATTACAGCAACATTATAAATTCAACTTAAAAAAAAAAGGCTATTCTAGATAAACTTACTCAAAATGTATTCATATAGTACAGCTTGTATGGAAATTGCATATATTACTATAGTGTAAATGCTGCTACCAAGCATAGGTGTAAAAAACGTTCTGTGCCAACATATCTTATGAGATAACGGAAAAAATTAATTCACGTGTGGTACTCCCACGTGTGATAATCTTACAGGCAAGAATAATAATTTCAATAATCAGATAAATGACATAATACAGAGCTAAACTGAGCTTCCTATAAATTTTTTTTTTTATAATATACGCCAACACAACTGCATTTCAACAGAATGTGCACAAGACAGTACAACTCTCCAAGAGTTGGAGAGAGCTCTGTATCAAGACAAAAAGTTAACTAATATACAGAAAATACAACAGAGTTATCTCTCACAGAACACAAGCTCTACAAATATCTCATAAGTAAAAAGAGTATTGAGAAAGTTTTACGAAGCTGACCTTGCTAAAGAGACTAAACAGTGCAGATGTCATTACAGAATTAAGCAGCAACAAAGGGGCTGCTAACCAATGCCAACTTGTACATAACGACACTGAAAAGTTTACATGAAATGTCTAACTGTATAAACTAGAAGGAAAATAAATACCTGGTATGTTTTCTATGTCACACATACATTCTTTCTTAATCTTTATATACTTCTGAAGCTACTACAAAAAAATCTAAAGATAATTCCTTAAGAAACAACAATGTAAAGTGCTGAAGACACTGAATACATAATAATTAATTTAGGTTTTACTTACCACCTCCTTTAATTTAGCTTCAATTTCATCTGACGTTAGTTTTCTACTAAGAGGAGTCTTCCTGAGTAACATATCACAGTAATTGGCTAACAGTTCTGGACAACGGGATTCAGGCTGCGTCTTATTACCCACACTGAACAAAACCAGAGGCTAACTTCAGCAAATCTTTCTATACAGATGTTAAATTGTTAATTTAACAACAAGTTGAACAGTTATTACTATATCAAGAAAAAACTTCAGTTTTCACCACTTGCTGCCCTTGTGGTTTGATTGGTTTGCATTAATTGTTCACTTCTTGTATACAAATAAACATGTTCAATAGTTTGAAAATTATATATCACAATATCAAAACAATATAGAGATTTTAGTATGAAACTGTGTGTGTTTGGAACTAAAAAAAACATGACTGTAGTAATTTTTGACATTACAAATTGGATGTGTTTTGACAGTCATAATGAATAAAAGTGCCGATTTATTTTTAATTGCAATAAACCAAAAGTTGTATTTATAACACTCATTGCTCAGTGTGGTTATGTTTCTCTCATTAATATTCACAAAATGTTAACTAGAAAACTCAGAGCTTTTAACTTATAGCAGGGATCAAAATATTACATTCCCGCATTCCCAAGGAATTTAACTTTGCTTGAGGAATTTCATCTTTTTAGTTGGATTTCCCAATCGGGAATGCACAGTCCATCTGTATTCCTTTAGTTATGACCAATGAAAGTGAACATATTGCATGGATTAAATAAAAAAAACAGTTCATGAGGAAATGCAGCTTTACATGAGGGAATGTAATTTTATTTCATTACTTCTATCCCTGTATAGTTATATATTTCCGTTTTTGTGGGTAAATTACTAGCATAGATCTCCTCAATGTTCATGTTTGAGTGACTTAACTATTCTACAAGTTACTTGTTACTGTTCTCTTTTTGCTTATACTTTTCAAAAAAGCCAAAATTTGAAAGATTACCTTTTCATATTTTCCTACATTTACAGTTTGAAATAACACTTTAGTTTTGATTAGAAAAGAAGTTTTCATTCATAAATGTTTCTTTCTAAATATTTAGAAGTAGTTGTCATTAATTCTGTGTTTGAACCATAGATTTTGAATAAAATCACAAAAGTAACTTAAATGGGCATAAAAAATATTCTTACTTACTGTAAAAAGCTGTAACTTTTAAAGAAATAAACAAATTTGTTCTGTATTTTTTAAATTTTCTAGTGCAAAATAGCTTTAACATTGTACTTCAATGATTTTATTAAAACATTTTGAAAGGTATTTTCCAAGGAAATTTTAATTGCCAGAAAATGAAATAGATAAAATTTTGTCAGTTTTTTCCAAGTTTATCTGTGTAATTTGCCAAATGTGAGCTATCATTTCAAGAAATATATTCATGCTGGTGTTCAAATTACACACACATTTTGAATCAAATTAGTTTTCAAACGTTTTACTGAATAAGTCCAGTCAGAGTGACATGATTTCATTCCAAGCATATCAACATCACTTTCACAAACATCTTGGGAAGATCTTCTCTTACTGTCCAGTTAGTTTATATTTACTTGCTTTGAAAACTCAAGTAAAGCTACTCAAGATCTATTTGCATTAGCTGTCCCTAATTTTGAACTGATAAACTAGATACAAAGCAGCTATTCAACAGAACTCACTGACAACTTTTTGGTTACTCTAATCAAACAGTGGTATTTGACTGTCACTCTTATAAGGCATCCACAACCCCAAAGAGTGAAGGCATTTTTTGCTGCAATAGGATGCAAACCAAGAACTAATATTCATAGTCCTATATGCAAACCATTAGCTCATATGTCCAGCCAATTATTTTATAGAAATTCCTTAACAGGTAAGAAAAGTTAAAAATACATCAAAAGTGTCCTTTAGCAGAGGTGGGAAAATTTTGTTGATAAAAGTAATCAAATCTCAGATTTTAGGCTTAAAGCCTATTCTTGTACATTTTTTAAACCTCAACTAGCTGAAAATGTTTTAAACTAAAAACTATAAAAATTATGTGATGTTGAAAAAATTCTGAAAAGTATGAAAAAACACATTATAAGAAAAATAATCATATCTGAAGCAAACCAGTTGACAAGAAAAAAGTCATCTTACATCAAGGAAAATGACAGCATCTTGAATTATAAAAATTAAATCACTATATAGACTTTTGATCATATTTAATCATAAGCAGATACTTGTCTGGTGTTACTTTTGTCAACAAGTGTAACTCTGTAATTGTTTAGTAAAATGCACAGTTATTCTGGATATTAAAATATAATAATTAGATGATGAATTTCAAATATCTATATGTATAAAGTTTAAAGTTTTACTGATGATGATGAGCTATACAGTCATCAAGTGTCAGAATAGTATTTTTTTGTTGTTTACTTCTGGGTAAAGCAGGTTAATCGTTAGATGTATAAATATAATTTTACCAAAATTTCTATCAACTAATAATGGACTGGAATATATGTATATAATGAAGGCTTGGTTTGGTTTGTTTGGAATTTCATGCAAAGCTACATGAAGGCTATCCACACTAGCCATCCCTAATTTAGCAGTGATAGACTAAGAGAGAAGGCAACTGGTCAACACCACCCACAGCCAACTCTTGGGCCACTCTTTACCAATGAATAGTGTGATTGATCATCACATTACAATGCCTCCAAAGCTTAAAGGGCAAGCATATTTGGTGTGACAGGAATTCAAACCCATAACCTGCAGATTGCGAGTTGAGTGCCCTAACCACCAGCCCTAAAGAAGGCATCATACTTAAATAGTAAATATATATATATGTATATATTTAATCCCTTATTCAAGACAGTTAAAAACAGGTTGCTTTACAAAAAATAAATTTAAGAAAACTTTGTCATTAAGGTTGATATTCAGGTTAGTTTAACCTGTACACAAATAACAACATACCCTTTTTGCTTCGATGGCAGCTCTAATCGAAATACTGAGGTGTCATTTACTACTTGCTTAAAAGCCTAAAAGAAAGATATATATTTTAAATACACTTTACAATCACATTCAGAAATAATAGTGTAACAGAAGTATACTATATCTGTAGTACTAATAATCTGTCCCCTGATATAAAACAATTATAATGGTCTTCTTAAAAGAAGTGGATCTAGTCTGTAGATCAAAACATTCTAGCCTGCTGACATTGAGCACATGGTCTAATTGTCAATCTGCTACAAAAATTCGTAAAACTTTCACAAAGTTTTTTCTTCTAGTCAAGAGAAACGTCAGTAACCCAATTTCATTTCTTTAACCATACCACACCTTGCATAACTCTGCATGGTGATTTTACCTACATTTACCTCTCTGCAAAATAACTTACTTTGCATGAAAATAACAAATTATTTTTATAATAAATCGGTAATTCATTTCAAACATATAAGTAGCCAATGTACAAATATTGAGTACAGCTCAGCCTTCAAAAATGACAGAATTTAACTCGTACTTCCTGCTCAATTTCTTTAAAAATTAATTTTTCTATTTATTTTTGATAAGGTTTAAATACTTTTACACAAAAATTCAGAAGAAATAAATGCTAATTTTCATTTCATTCATTGAAAAAGAACTTTACAATGTTTTTTTTATATCTTTATAAATTTGAAATTGAGTTAGTAAATCTGAGTTTGAGTTTTGCTCAAAAAGACAAAAACTGATTCAATTACAAGAACTTTATAAGAATTTTGACTTTCAACTATTTTTGAAAAAGATCAAGCAGTTTCTGGTGAGAATATATGATTGTGGTGAGGTCATTTTAACAAAACACTAGGAGTAACATTCAAACCAGCTATTCAAGTTTTCGAATCAACATTTTTTTAAATTAACACACAATAAACAATCTTTTTTTATAAAAAAAAAAAAATTAGATTGACAGTTCAGAATCAACAGTCAACAATTTTTTACACAGTAGTGAAACACATAATTCTTAGTGTTTTTCTGAAACATGACAACAGATAGTTATAGTTTATATCATTATTTATATATTTATAAATATTGTTCGATCTAAGAAAACTTCTGTATCAATCAAACGCATACCCATAATTCTCATTTATAATGATAAAGATGATAGAAATATTCAATTACTTAAATGTACTAAAAGTTTAATATATATAATAATAATGTTGTTGTTAAGCACAAAGCTACACAATGGACTATCTGTGCTGTCTACCACGAGTACTTGAACCAGGTTTTTATCATTATAAGCCTTCAGACTTACTGCTGAGCTAAAGGGGAGGGCATATAATAGTGAATTTGTTTGTTTCTGGGTTAATGAGTAAATTGTGAACATCCAATAATGTATGAAACAGGTATTGTTTTGATTTCATGCACAAACTTACTCCTCATGATCCATTTTGTGGGGCATTCAAAGTGAGCTTTCAGCTAGTGATTTTAAGTTACCGTACTATAATAAAATATTAATTTTACTTTCTTTGTTAAAAAACAAACAACACAAGTTTGTATTTGCTTTTGTACATGTTACTTTCTTTTATAAGAACTAACAAAACAAAAAATGTCTTGAAATTGTCAACAGTAATTCTTGAAAATGAGCATTAACATATTCGAAGGCAGAGTCTAGATGAAACTCCATTTTTTTTGTGAATAAAAAAGTTCATCTTATTTAAACCGATCTTAAGAACAAAATGTTATTACAGGATGGTGAGTAACCATGAAACTTTACACTTTATTGGTATATTAATACAAAGAATGGTCCCTTGGAGGTCCAGTGAACAATGAAGTACTGAGAAAGAAAGCAGTAAGTGGTGTTTTTGGTGTAGTCCTACTGCTACCCTATGTACTAGCAAGTAAATATAAAGATTTATGCTATGTGTTTGTTGATATAGGGTGCATATTATGGGCATTGTATTGAATTCCACCAAAAATCAGTCACTTGCCAACTTTAAAAACAAGCACAGCATGTATTACCATACTATTTTCTGAGTATATGTAATGAAACAAAACATATCATATATAAAAAAGAATCTGTTACGTACAAGTGCTCATAGCGTAAAGACAGTAAATAGATTGCCAAAAATGTTGAAATGCTCAGCAACTCTGACATTGAATACTCACATATACTGTGACATCTAACAATCACACTCTTTGTTTTTCAAGACTGACCAGCAGATGTGACAAATGTGACATTGGTCCACTGATTTATCACAGCGTTTCTGGACACTTTCAAGATCACAATGGCTGATGCAAAACGAAAGGGGGAGTATTCTAACACTAACAACTAAGGTTCTAGTGACAGCATAACACATGGATCTGAACATTCCACATATCTATTTACTTTTTCACATCACATTAATGTTTTGTGTTTGTTATTGCTGTGTTTTATACAAGTTCCAGGAATAACATTGTGATTTCATGTATGTGTTTTTTCCCGTTTCTCCCTTAATAATATCCTGATAAAATATGTTTTTGTAGTTGAAAAGTACATCACTATCATGTGTGTGTGAGTAGCTGAAATTCATAGTAGGGCAAAAAACAGCCCTTGGGGGAATCCATCCTTTATAGATAATTGCATTCAAAAGAGTCAATATTATTTGAAAATACTATCAGTTCAACACTTTCTAGAATTCATTTATCTTAATAACTTATCCTAAGATCAACAATCAACTGCAGCAAAATAATGCTCTTAACATATAAGTAAGTGCATTAAGAGCAAATAAAATAATATATTTAATATCTAACTGCATAGTTTTAGAACACACAAAATCATGTTCGTAATTTCTTTGTGGACTTTCTGTGCTAACAGTCTCAAATTTTAAAGTAATACACTAGAATGAAGTCAGCTACTCAACTTCAGCTACTGCAAACTGCCGAATTACTGTTGTCAAGACTGATAATGGGATTTGACAGTCACTTTGTTAATGCAGCCATGGCTTCAAAGTGCAAAGCAAGTTTTTGTAGCAACAGGATGTGAACCAGAAACCTGGATTCATAATCTGGAATGTTAAACACTAGGACATGCTTAGCCTTCTCAATATCTAACTATTCATATTAAAATCACACAAGGTAATTCCTCTTTTACAAATTATAAAAACATTTCATGTATTTCAGTATGTAAGAAAATGATAAGAAACAGATAAATACAGCAAAAGAAAAGAAAAAAGTGAGCTTATAACATATTGAAAAATATTTTCATTTATATCTTCTACACAAATATGCAAGAGCATGACTATTTTGAATTTTTATTTAAGATAAAAAACATGAACATGCAATTAGGGTAATAAAACAACTAAAAACTTTCAGACATAGAACTCCTTACTCCTTAGTTGACAAAACACAACATTGATTATGTGTATAACATTATATTGCAGTAAGATTTATAATAATTTAAGTTGCATTATTGTTTACTAGCCCATTACAATTTCATTAAAAAGATTTTATAATGGTGTGATTTCCATTATTATAAGTCTAACTGCTACATGGTAGTACACCTATATTATCATTAAAGTGTAAGTCTTCTTGAAATGCCCTTCAACTTTAGAAACAAATGCAATAATATAGTAATAATATTTCAACTTCTGTCTTTTTAAGTTAAATCACAAGACACAAGTCAAGCAACGTGCAATAAAAAAATCTGGAATTGAACCACAAACCTTGTCCCTAGCAGTAAGAAACCTTGGGTCATCATTAAAAGCTTCTTTGACTAGTGAGCTAAATCTTGTGAAAAGATCTAGTAACTGTTCCACATATTTTTCTGAATCCTGAAAAAAAGAGTAATAAAGTTGTAATTCTTAAGACTTTTCAGAAGGTGATGGCAAACAAACAAAAATTATCAACTCTCACCAGTTGGTTAAAATGAAGTTGGCTAAACGTATATAATCAAGTAAAATATTTAGGTCATACCTATATACAAATTGAGAAAATACCAACAAATAAAATATTGAATGCCTGATATATTAGTTTTACACTGAATTTTCAGAAGTTTCTTCCACAGTGATGGTACTCTGGAATAAATGACTCATTACAGAGAAATATTACACACACAAATGATCATTCATTTGGCATCTACTACATTCACATTAACCTTGTGTCTCTCACAGTCTAAAAAAAACTTGTATTGATTTTATAAACTTCATATCTTTTTTGTGGCCTCCAACTCCACTATGACTATTGGTATTACCATAATTTTCCATCCTTTAGAGAAACTTCAATCACTGCTAAATAAATTAATGTTCTCAAACAGAGTTTTCTGTTATTAATAAAAATTTATAATAAACTACTAAAAAGGAATACATTAGAAAGAAAACATATGTTTGTATTACTCAAAGCTATGTTGTACTTTCATGAAGATGAAGCCAATCTCAGAGAAGGTGTTATTTGTTATATGCAACATTTCATTTTTAGGAAATGACATTGTTATGCAACCTGGATTCAAGAAGGTGTACATAACTGTACAGAAAAACAGATATTGAACTGTTACAAAATAACTGGATGAATGTAATGGATTTAACACAAAAAAGGACAAACTAATGATACATCAATTAGAGAAACATTACATGAATACTTTAGTGTTGAAACTAAAAATTTTATACTTATGTCAATAAAAGGTAACAATATAACTCAAAAGAAAAATATCTCATATTATTTCATGTTTTGAAATTATACTTTTAAAATCACACCTTTAATTGCCTACCTGAGTTACAATATCCGCTGAAGCCATCATGTCCGCAAGACCTCGGTCAATAATGTGTTGTTCTAAGTCTTGCAACATCGGAGTGATTCCATTTGGAACCCTATCCAATAGCTTGAACATGAGTTGTAGTTCTGTAACAAAAATGTAAAATGTATATTTTTTGCTCTTTAGTCAGGTACATATTATCTCTTTGATAAAAATCACACTTTTTAGAAAACATCAGCCTTCATAGAGATGTTGGAAAGAACGTGAAGTTTCTACACGTATTAGCCAATATCCTATAAAATTTTTAGTTTAACTGGCTACTCTTTATTTTTGTAAACCAAATATATAACTGGAAATAATATGTCATTTAACACACTCTAATAAATGGTTAAAACTATACATCTAAAGATATGTAATATCTTGTTGAATCACAAGTTTAGTTAATGAATACTTTTAACAGTCAAACTAAATTTGGTTTGGCTACACAAAACTGTAGCCAACTTACATTTTATGTAGTAGAAGGAACTAACAAAGCATCATTAGTTCAAGGTTTTGGTGACTAATGTTTACTTGCCATGTCTGTTAACCTGTACAAGCAAACTAATAGCTCTCACCATGTAATACAAAATATACTTTTTAAATTTTATCAAACTTTATTGAAAATTAAATTAATAAATGAAGGAAGAAGTAAAATATTATGCCAAGATTGAAAAAAACAGAGAAAATTTTTGAAACAATGTAACAGTAATCATTTGATCATCAGTTAACAGAATATTAAAAATACATGACAATTAGACTCTCTCTTTGCCTTTATGTGGTAGTTTGTCTTTTCCCTTAAAAACATCTCTTCAGAATAGTTGTTCTTTGATTCCTATTAAGTATTCATAGAGATTTCTCCTGAGCTTGACATCAAAACTGAATTCAAACAATACAAGTTCCTCCAATTTAACATATATATAATTTTAAACAGTTTGCTGTATGCATGAAAATTATGAAAAAATTTCAAATCTGTATACATATCCATGCAATGTTGTATGCTTGTGAAGTATGTATTTTGTTTTTACAACTCTCCTGAAAGATTTTATTAACATGTCTTACCACAATAACAGATGAAAAGTAAAGCAATGTATTAGGTTGTCAAAAAATTAATGTTGCTTTTTTTAGATGAAAAAACCCGAACAACTTATATATCAAAACATTCATTAAATGATATAGTTTCCATTCTTATCGATGATGTTTTTCCATCTTACAGTTAGGTTGTTAATGCTATGATTAAAGAAATAACTTGGCTTTGAAGCAAAAACATGTCGATGTCCTCTTTAACACCTTCCATATTTGCATACATTTTCCCAATAAGATGGAGTTGCAGCAAACAAAAAAGATGCTAATCTGATGGTGCCTTATCTGGAGAATATGATGGGTGGGGGAGAACTTCCCAACCCAACTCCATAATCTTGTGTTGTGCCAAACGTGCCACATGTGGACGTGCATTGTCGTGGAGAATAAGATCACATTTCTG